TTACCAATAAAAAAAAAAACATTTATGTGGCACGGCTCTTTCTTCTTTTGCTTTTCCTCCTTTTCTCTGGAATTAAGATGTGATGCCTGGTGGCAGAGCAGCCATAATGTGACCATGCTATGACAAGCACCAGATGGCAGTTGTGTACTAGGAAGAGAGGGCACAAAGGAAAAAGAGCCAAGATCCCTCTACGATTGAGCTGCACACTGACACTGGATTGCATACCTCCTGATTTGTTCTCATTTGAGAAAAAATTATAACCTATTTGTTGAAATCACAGTATACTGTGATAGGTCATTATTATTGTTGTTATTTGAAACCAAATTCATTCCTAAGTGGAAATAGTTATGAAGTATAAATACATGGGGCACTGACAGAGGATGGCTCATGAAATGGTGAGTTATTCAAGGTGTCTATGAAAGCCACCCTGAAGCTTCGAAATCTCACCACTGCTACTACCTACCTGTCCTAAATAAAAATTTATCAACCCATCAACAAATTAATTGAGTTAAATTAAAAATTAAATTAGTGAAATTAAATTTCACTAATTTTTATTGATCCCTCATTATCTGCTAGATATTTTTCTGGTGATGGGGATAGTTTGGAGAAGACAGAGATAATGTTAGCTCTCATTAAGTTAACATTCTAAGGGGAAAGTAGACAATAAACTAGGAAAATAAATGAACACTCATTTCAGATAATAAGTCCCATAGAAAATATAAAATGGAGTGTTGGGATAGAGAGTTATGGGAGGGTATATGCACGGAAGTCTAAGAGAATGATATTTCAGGTGTGCCAAGACCAAGAAATATGGCCCAAATGAAAGAACACAGCAAAACCTCAGAACTAAATGATGAGGAGATTGCCAACCTATCTGATGAAGAATTTAAAGCCTTGGTAATCAAAATACTCACAGAACTAACTGAGCTTGGTTGAAAAATAAAAGAGCAAATGAAAGATGCCCAAAATGAAATAAAGCAAAATATTTAGGAAACCAACAGTAACAAGAAGGAAACCAGGATTCAAAGCAACAATTTTGGACAAAAGGTAGAAATAAACATTCAACTAGATCAGAACAAAGAACAATAATCCCCAAAAATGAAGAGGCTGAGGACTGTCTGGGACAACTTGAAATGTTCCAATATCTGAATTATAGGGGTGCCAGAAGGAGAAGAACAAGAGCAAGAAGTTGAAAACTTACTTGAACAAATAGTGAAGAAAAACGTCCCCAATCTGGCAAAGGAAATAGACTTCCAGGAAGTCCAGGAAGCCCAGAGAGTCCCAAAGAAGCAAGACCCAAAGAGGAACACACCAAGGCACATCACCATCAAGTTACCAAAGATTAAAGATAAGGAGAGACTCTTAAAAGCATCAAAAGAAAAGAAGAGAGTTACCTATAAAGGAGTATCCATAAGATTATCAGCTGATTTTTCAAATGCAACCTTACAGGCAAGAAGGGGCTGGAAAGAAGTATTTGAAGTCATGAAAGGCAAGGACCTACATCCAAGATTACTCTATCCAGCAAGATTATGCTAAACCAGTGGATTACTCTGCGTATCCACTGGTATATTATATTCAGAATGGAAGGGCAGATAAAGTACTTCCCAGATAAGGTCAAGTTAAAGGAGTTCATCACCACCAAGCCCTTATTATATGGAATGTTAAAGGGACTTATCTAAGAAAAAGATAAAAAATATGAACAATAAAATGACAACAAACTCATAACTATTAACAAATGAACCTAAAATAAAAGAAAAACAAAGAAAAAAGAAACTAAGCAAACAACCAGAACAGGAACAGAATCAGAAAAATGGACATCACATGGAGGGTTTTCAGTGGGGAGGGGGAAGGGAGGAATAAGGGCGAAAAGGTACAGGGAAGAAGAAGCATAATTAGTAGGCATAAAATAGATGGGGAAAGATAAAAATGGTATAGGAAGCAGAGGACTCAAAGAACTTATATGTACAACCCATGGACATGAACTAAAGAGGGGATGCTGGAGGGTTGGGGGGCAGGGTGGAGGGGGGATTAAGGTGGAAAATTGGGAAAACTATAATAGCATAATGAATAAGAAATACTTAAAAAGAGTATACATCAGAACATTTCAAAAAAAGAAAATGATGTTTCACATAAAATTTAAATTGCAGAAAGGAGCCAACTCTGTGAGACCTGAGGGCCAAGCTTTTGGGAGAGAGTGGCCAGGGCAGCTGCCTCAGGCAGAAATGAGCATGCTCTGCTCCAGATGCAGAATGAATCATTAATAGGTGTCCACTGCACAGTGATTTGGGAGGCTATCCATGTTTATCTCATTATAACTATTCTGGCCATGGGCAATATGATGGATCTCGAGGCTGCGGACAGGGCTACATGCTGCATAAGTGACTTTTCCTACCACCACTTCAGCCTGTCAGAAAACCAGGGGATGGAATGGCTGGGGGCGAGTCTAGGTAATAGACTGTGATCTGAGTGACTGATCATCTTTCCTTTGAGAATGGACCTGTCATTCTCAGCCACATCCCTAGGCTCCCCAGGGGCTGGCTTCCCATGGAATGAAGTCAGCCCTGTTCTGGAGGGACTGATAAAGCCTTCAGCTGAAACCCAGCTGCTTCAGGACCATGCTCCAGTCCCTCCCTCAAGTTACAGTTGTCACACTTGATGCATCTTTCTGTGGAAAGACCAACGCAGAGAGGCAGGAACCCTGGCTCCTGCTCCCAGCTTGCTCCAGCTGGTCATACCTGAATCATTTTCAAGTGATGCTTATCACTGAAGCAGCAACATGACATCACATAGCTGGAAAACTCCCACACAGTTCATCCTGTCCTGCATTCCTCATGTGTCTGGCATTACCCATGACAAAAGGGTTGGAATACCACCATCCCTGCTTTAAGTAGGTTGTCTGCTAAACCAGATATCTACTGACTTTGATAAAGAATCCAGTTCACTTTTCTCTAACACTTGAACTTGGGGGAAATTAGAGCCACAGTAACTATCTGTGGGCTGCTATGTTTCCTCTGGGGTCCTGTGTGATTGGTGGGGCCCTGGGAATGTGATGATTTTTTACCTTGGAAGAATAAGGTGACTTGGAAGTATAATACCTAAACTACCATTTGGAAACCCCAGTTCAGTTATCCTAGATCTGGGGCAAAACAAATCACAAAATATCAAAGTTAGAAGAGACTTTGGTGATTAATATTCCTCCTCTTAAAGATGAAAATTTTTTAAAAAGAAAAATGATTTGACCAAGGTTAATAATACTAAATGCAAAAGAAGGCTCTTGGAGATCTGCATAGGTCTTGCGTAGATGTTTCCAGTATTTTGTTGTAATGTTCTGCTTTGACTTATGGAACAAAGAAAATAACCCTGGTGTGTCCACAATGTATGCAAAGTTCTCCATGGCCCTACCTGGTTTGACTTTCCATTTTAAGTACTAGGCATCCTTTTTTCTCATGTCACAGAAATGATGTAAAGAAAATGAATTCATTTACTAAGTGGCAATACTGAACTTCAGCTTAAGCATTCTGACTTTTGTCCAATAGGATTTTCAAGTCCATCTCCACTTTTGCTCTCTGAAGAGTTGAGGGACATGGAAGAATTAGCCATACTTAGGTAGGGTAGGATACACAGGAGCCCTGGAACGGATGCTCCTAATTTCTAAGAGCTCTAAGGAAAGGATTCTGATATTTAGTGAACGATCCTCGTTTTCACCAACGTGTGAATACTTCCCTCTTAGAGCTGCTCTATCTGAGGCGGAGGTCCCGTGATTCTAACATAACTTGGTGCTGTCATCACAATAGCTGCCTCCACTTATTTTAAATACCTCCTTCCAGACATAGTGTGGCACGTAAAGTCTGTTAGAAGCAGCCGTCTGACTCAGACTCCTGTCTCTATCACTTCTTCTGGGGGACCCGATGTATATTACGTAGCCTTCCTGTGTCTCAGGTTTGTTTTCTATGAAATGAGGCTGGGAAGAGTTCTTTCCTGAGGAGGTGGATGACACTAAATGAGATAAGGGATTTACAAGAGTATGTGCTCAATCACAGTTAGTGGTTGCTGCATTTGCTCTCAATAAAACGAAAGGAATTCTGTCACAGAGCTGTTTTCTCCAGCAATACAAAAAGAACATGTGCATAGTGCATATCACTGGTAGGCATTTCAGGGTGAGAAGCATCTGAAAGATACAGTAACATACAGTTTGCTGTGCGACTCCAGAGAACGATCTGTCCCAGGCCCTCTACTGTAAGTGTTACCTTGTTTGTGCCAGCGTTACTGCCTCCTACACCAGGAAGCTTTGGCTCGCCCACCTGAGAAGCTAAAGCTGACCCGGAAGTTATGTTTCAAGAAAAAAAAGAAGCATCTCTTATGTAACTTGAAAAGTATAAAAGATGCAGTGCTAAAAGCCACTGTCCTGAATTTTTCTAAAGTGCAATAAATCTCTTAGCACAAGGGTCTCCAGTCATTACCAAAATATCATTTGTCTGGTTGTTTTTTGATGTAAGATACACTAGAAGAAAGTTAATGAACTCCCTCTGTTGGATTGCATGCATTGGCCCTTGAAGGCTATAAAAGTGTTGCTATTTCAAGTTCTACATATCTAAACTACTTCTCGTGTTTGTTTTATGGTTTCTCAGCAATATCCCAACTTTAGTTTGATCACTTCCTGTGAGTTTGTCTATTTCCTCATGCGAAGCTGATTCTCCTTCTCTTTTTTTCTCTCTCTTTCCCCACCCCCCCTTATACTTTTTGCTTGTTTAGATCATTTTTCTCTCTCTCTCTCCAATAATCTGTCAGTGGCTCAGCATTTTGCTGCACTGAGTGAGCGAGGTTGGAAATGGAGCCAAGTGGCAAACTGAAACAAGGGCTCAGCCTCACAGAGAGAGTGTACTTTGTGCTATTTCTGGCCAGAGCAGATGTGGCCTGGTGGTCTTTGGGGAACAATATCTTTCAAGTAAAATTAAATTACTAAGATTAGGACCAAAATGATGCAAATCCTTTCTCTGCAGACAGATCATGAACTGGAGCCATGTGGAGAGGAGACAAGGTTGGAACTCACTCCGGATCCTCTTCTGGGTTTCTTCCAGATGACCCCCAATCACCCATCTGGTCTCAGTGAGTACCTGTGACTTACAAAAAAAATTTAAATCAGCAACAAAAATAAATAGGAAGAGTATAATAACAAAACCATATGTACCATTGAGTTCTCAGCAATGCTAACATTTTGATAAGTTCACTTCAGACCTGGTTGAGTTCTCTATTTCCTCCTTGCTCCCACACCACAGATAAGCACTGAGTTGGATTTGAGTGCTTTCCTGCTTCTGTGTACACATGTATCTTTCACAATAGGTACTGTCATTTTTCATATTTTAAACTTTTAAATAAGTGGAAGCTGGCTGTATATATTTTGCAACAGCCTTTCTCTGAATTTAGCATTAGATTTCAGCCACATAATTGTGGTCCATTCATTTTCACTGCTACATGGTGTAATGTTTCATAAACAGACCACTATTGCTGTGTATTCATTTTTCTGTTGATGATCAATTAGATTGCTTCTTTTAAATTTATTTTATTTTTTTAATATATTTTTTGATTATGCCATTACAGTTGTTCTATTCCGCCCTTCATCCCCCTCCACCCTGCACACCCCCTCCCCACCATTCCCCCCTTTAGTTTATGACCACATGTCTCAAGTTCTTTAGATTCTATATTGCCCCTACTATTCTTACCCTCCCCCTTTTAAATTTATTTTTTATTTTTTAGTTGCAACTGACATATTAGTTTTTGGTATATCACTTCATGATTTCACATTCATATACCAGATGAAGTGATCACCCAGATAAGTCTAGTATCAATCTGACACCATACATACAAATTACAGTATTATTGACTATATATCCTATGCTGTACTTCACATCTCTGTGACTATTTTTATAATTGTCAGTGTGTATTTTTAATTCCTTCATATATTTCAACCCCCCTCCCTCCCCCTACCAACCTTCTCCCATCTGGCAAACATAAATTTGTTTCTGTTTTTTTTTGTTTTTTTAGATTTTGCACACAAGTAAAATCGTATGGTACTTGTCTTTGTCTAACTGATTTCATTTGGCATAATACTCTCTAGGTCCATCCATGTTATCATAAGTGGCAGATTTCATTCTTTTTATGATTGAGTAATATTCCATTGTGTACATGTATGAGATATGTCACAACTTTACCCAAACGTTCATTGGTGGACACCTACATAGCTTCCATGCCTTGGCTATAGTAAATAAAGCTGCCATGAACATAGGAGTGCAAATATCTTTTCAAATGAGTGCTTTAGATTCCTTTGGATAAATAGCCAGAAGTGGAATTGCTGGGTCATATGGTGGTTCTGTTTTTAATATTTTGAGAAACCTCTATATGGTTTTCCAAAGTGGCTGCACCAGTTAACAATCCCTCCAACAGTGCATAAGACTCCCCTTTTTCCACAACCTAACCAGCACTTGTTTGTTGATTTATTGAAAATAGCTATTCTAATAAGTATGAGGTGGTATCTCATTGTGGTTTTTCTTTTCACTTCTCTGATTAGTGATGTTGAGCACCTTTTCTTTGGTCTATTGTCCATTTGCTTGTCCTCTTGGAAGAAATGTTTGTTCAAGTCCTCAGCCTATTTTTTAAAATCAAATTATTTTTTATTTTGATGTTAAGATACATGAGTACCTTAGATATTTTAGATGTTAACCCCACATCAGATGTATCACTGATAAATATTTTCTGCCACTTAGTAGACTATTTGTTTCATCAAAGGATTCCTTAGTTGTGCAAAAACTTTTTAAGATAGTCCCACCTGTTTTTGTTTATTTCCCTTGACTGATGAAACATATCCAAAAAGAAAATATTAACTAAGAGCAATGTCAAAGAATTTACTGCCTATTTTTTCTTCTATGAGTTTTATGGTTTCAGGTCTTACATTTAAGTCTTTAATCCATTTTGACTTTATTCTCGTATATGGTGTGAGAGAGTGAACCAGTTCCATTCTTTTGTAAGTATCTGTCCAGTTTTTCTAACATTATTGAAGAGGCTATCTCTATCCCAATGTATGTTCTCACCTCTAATGTTAATTGACCAAATAGGCATGGTGTTATTTATGAGCTCTCTATTGTGTTCCATTGATCTATGTGTCTGTTTTGATGTCAGTACTATGCTTTTTGATTATGGTGGCCTTGTAGTTTGATATCAGGTAGCAGGATACTTCCAACTTCGTTCTTAAGATTGCTTTGGCTACTTAGGGTCTTGTAGTTCCATACAAATTTCAGGATTATTCTAGTTCTGTGAAAAGTGCCATTGGTATTTTGATAAGGAGTACATAGAGTCTGTAGATTACCTTGGGCAGCATTGATATTTTAATTGTGTTACTTCTATTTATGAGCATTATATATCAATTTATTTATTTATTTAATCTCTGATTTCTTTCAGGGGTGTCCAACCTGCAGCCCATGGGCTGCATGAAACCCATTATGGCTACATATGCAGCCCAACACATAGTTGTAAATTTACTTAAAACATTATGAGATTATCTTTGTGATTACATGTTGCAATGTATTTAATGTATGTGGCCCAAGACAACTGTTCTTCCAGTGTGGCCCAGAGACACCAAAAGGTTGGACACTCCTTATAGTTTTCCAAGTACAGGTTTTTAACCTCCTCAGTTAAATTTATTTTTAGGTATTTTATTCTTTTGATGCAATTTTAAATGGAATTTTCTTAATTCCTCTTTCTGATAGTTTGTTATTGGTGTATAAAATGCAACTGATTTATTAACATTAAATTCATTTATTCTAATAATTTTGATGGAGTCTTTAAGGTTCTTTAGACATAGTATTAGGTCATCTGCAAATAAGTTTTGCTTCTTCCTTTCCAATTCAGATGCCCTTTTTTTTTCCCTCTGATTCTTATGCCACAACTTCCATTACTATTCCGAATAAAAATGGCAAAAGTGGATATTCTTGTCTGCTCCTGATCTCATTGAAAAAACTGTGCTTTCACTGCTGGGTGTGATGTTAGCTGTGGGTTTGTCACAATGGCCTTTATTTTGTTGAGGTGTGCTCCCAATAGCCCAACTTTGCTGAGAGCTTTTTTAAAAATCAAAAATACCTCTTAAATTTTGTCAAATACTTTTTCTGTATCTGTTGACATGATCATATGATTTTTATCTTTCATTTTGTTTACACAGTGTATCACATTAATTGATTTGCAGATATTGAGCCAACCTTGAATCCCAGGAATAAATCTCACCTGATCGTGGTATATGATCCTTTCTTGTAGTGTCTTTGTCTTGTTTTGGTATCAAGGTAATGCTAACTTTAAAAATGAGTTTGGGAGTCTTCCCTCCTCTTCAGTTTTTTTGAATATTCGAGAATAGGTATGTTCTTATTTGAATATTTGGAAAAATTTACGTGTGAAGCCATCTTTTCCAGGGCTTTTGTTTGTTGGGAGTTTTGTTTTGTTTTTTTACTGATTTTATTTTATTAATAGTTATAGATCTGTTCTTCCTAATTAGATTTCTTCCTAATTTAGTCTTGAAAAATTGTATGTGTCTAGGAATTTATCCATTTTTTCTGGCTGTTCAACTTTTAGGCATTTAATTATTTATAGTGTTTTCTCATAATTATTTGTATTTCTGTGGTGTTGGTGGTCAATTCTCCGCTTTCATTTCTGCTTTTATTTATTTGAGTCCTTTTTCTTGATGATTCTAGTTAAAGGTTTATAAATTTTATTTATTTTTTTGAAGAACCAGTGCTTCGTTTCACTGGTGTGTTGTATTCTTTTTAGAGTATATTTTGCTTATTTCTGCTCTGATCTTTGTTATTTTCTTTCTTCTGCTTACTTTGGACTTTTTTCTCTTTCTAGTTCCTTTAGGTATATGGTTTATTTGGGATTTTTTCTTGTTTCATGACATAGACTTGTGTTGCCATAATTTTCCTTTTAGAATGGCTTTGGCTGTGCCCCAAGGATTTGGGGTCATTGTGTTTTTATTTTCATTTGTCTTGAGGTATCTTTTGATTTCTTCCTTTATCTGATTCTTAACCCATTTATTGTTTAGTAGCATGTTATCTAGCCTGCATGGGTTCTTTTTGTTGTTATTGTTTTCTTCTTGTAATTGATTTCTAATTTTATACCATTGTGATCAGAGAAAATGACTGATACGATTTCAGTTTTTTAAACTGTATTGAGACTTGTTTTGTGGCCTAACATGGTCTATTCTAGAAAATGTTCCATATGCACTTGAGGAAAAAATGTATATTCTGTTGCTTTCAGGTGAGATGCTCTAAAATATCAATTAAAGCTATATGGTATAATGTATCATTTAAGGCCACTGTTTTTATGTTGATTTTGTGGATGATCTGTCCATTAATGTCAATGGGGTTTTAAAGTCCTCTACTGTGACTGTGCTGTTGTCAGTCTCTCCCTTTATGTTCATCAGTATTTATACTTAGATGCTGCTATGTTAGGTGTCTCCATGTTTGAGAGTGATGTCCTATTACTGAATTGATCCCTTTATTATTAAGAAATGCCCTTCTTCATCTCTTGTTAGCCCAACTTTTAAAGTCTATCTCGCCTGATATATGTATTTCTACCCCAGCATTTTTGTGTGTATTTCCATTGTATAAAATATCTTTTTCTATCCTTTTATTTTTAGTGTCTGTGTGTCTTTTGAACAGAAGTGGGTCTCTTATAGGCAGCGTATGTATGGATTTTTTTTTTATTCCGCCACTCTGTTTTTAATTGAAGCATTTAGTCCATTTACACTGAGGGTGATTATTAATAGGTATATAGTTACTACCATTTTAATTTTTTCTGATCGTTTTCATTATCCTTATCTGTTCCTTTCTTTTTCTCTCACTCTCTTACATGTTTATGACTTTATTTAGTTTATGTTTGGATTCCTTTCTCTTTATTTCTTGTATATCTCTTGTAGATTTTTGGTTTGTGGTTAACTGTGCTTCCTATGTACCAAGTTTTGGTTACAGCAGTGTATTTTAGGTTGGTGGTTACTTAAGTTCAAACACATGTTAAAATCACTGCAATGTTTACTCACCTCCACCAAGTTCATTTTTGTCATTATTTTT